ACCATGGCATCCTGGTAAGATCCAGGATCGTCAAAACGCAACAGTCAGGTTGATCCGTGGCGCTGGAATTCAGAGAACAATAATTGGGCATTCTTCCGGGTCTTCAAGCTACCAACGAGGCAGATCTTTCAATGGAAATGAACCGTTGTAAAGGCTTATGAAGAGGAGGATCGGAGGGAGGGTGTATTCCAACACCGTTGATGGCTCTCGGGTTTACACTGGTCCTCCTTTTCCTCCTCCTCCTACTCCTCCTCCCTTGTCTCCTCCTACTCCTCCTCCTCCTCCTCCTACCTATCCTCCTCCCTCCAGCGACCTCGATGAATCGCACGGCGCGACGGAAGGACTCGGAGCAGCGGATCCCCGAGGATGTTACATTTTGCCATGAAGAAGCGCCGCCGCCAGAAAGGGCTTGGGATGGCCAGGGCTTCCTGACTGCCTCGTGGCCTCCTGTGCTGAGTGTCACACCCGCCCCCGATCCTGACATCTGGACGTTTCCCCCGGCCCTCAGAGGCTCCGAAGAGCGCCAATCATCGGGGGCGTCATAGCCGGGGGTGAGGGCCGGGGGCGTGTGGACATCGCGGTCGGGGCCATAACACATCCCAGATTATATGCCCCACTTGCTAGTTCTTGCAATGCATTCCTTGGCCTGCCTTCGCCTGCGCACATGCCTCGGGCCATGATGCGCGAAGCCCCCTCCTCGGCGCGCCCGAAGAAAAAAGGCCACATGCGTCGAAAAAGCGTGCGAACGCCTCCACCCATCTTCTCCCGAGGGCTGACCTCAGCGGCGTTCTCTCGGTTGCAACTCCTCGGACTCCTCGGAGGTCCATATCAGCATTGGCGCTGGTGCATCCGAGGCCGAGAACCGTTCTATTCGGTAGTACTGCCAGATCCCGCATTGTCCAGTTCACCTTCAACTTCATCCGTCAAGACGGGCACATACATGAAAATGTCGGATTCGGAACGGGCCCGCTGTGCCTCAGGTCACTCCATGATTGCTCGCCCGCGCTCCCCGTGCAGCCTGGCGAATCTGGGGCCCAGGAGCTTCGCTCATGAGTCAGCGGTCCGGACGGTTTGCATTTATCAGGAGGGGAAAATACACACAGACACCATGAATCGTCCACTCCCAGGAAAATATGGGAAGTGGGGGGAAGGACAAAACCCCCCAAAATATAGGAAAATGTGGGGAACACTTCTATTTGTGTGTATTTATTTGTGTGTCCTGGGGCCCCTTTCAATCTAATATCCCCACAGCCTGCCAGGAGCTGCCTCCCGAGCCTTCCCATCCCATCTCCGCAGAGCGCCAAGATGGGCCAGAGCGGGCCTCTTCTCCTCCTCCCTGGCCGTCGCTCCGCTCCTCCGCTGCGTCGCTGCTGCATCTCGCCGAGGCAGCGGCGCTGCACCGGCGATGCGGCGCGCCCCGTCCTCAGTGGGCCCTGGAAACGACAAGGCCGCTTTTTTACCGGTTCCGTTTGGCCGTGTTTCTGCCGGCTCCGACGCCGGTTTTTTCCCGGTGCCGTCCGTCGCCGTTCTTTGACCGGTTCCGGCTCCGGTTCCAATCCTGGAGCCGTTTTTGTGGCCGTTTCCGGTCGCCGTTTTTAGCCGTTTCCATTTTCAAGGGACATTTTTCGGAAACGGTGAAAAACGGCCCTGCCGTTTCCGGGGCCCACAAGGTACTCGGACACCATCTGGGATGTGGGAGGCTTCGACTCCTGGAGCCTCGAGGGCCCTCAGAGGCGGAACGGGTACCCGTATCGACTACGCGATCGTTTCCTTGCCCACAGCTTTGCCGATCGGCGCGGGCCTTCGCACCCCCTCCCCCCCCAATGGAGTAGATCTTGGCTGTTCGGGGCGCCTGTTTCTGTGAGCAGGTGGAGTCTCCCCCCTGCAGGAGGACGCACTGTTGCAAACAGTCGCACTGAGCAGAGGTCCGGAGCCAGACCCCCGCCTCCCACACCCTCCGTCCAATGTCGAAACGCCGAATGAGGAAACGCTTATTTTAGACGTAAGAGTGACCCTTCGCCGGAGTTATCTTTGGTGCGGGCCCACTGGGGTCCCCCGATCGCCGAACGGGAGGTGGCAGTGGCGTCTTGCCCCCCCCCCTGGCCCTCAAAAAGCTGCGCACCAAGGGTCACCCTTGCCAAGGGCCACACGTGCGTGTAGCTGACCATACCGCTACCCATTGCCTCCTTTTCGCAGGAGGCCCTCGTCGCCACCGCTGGATTCGCCTGGCAATTCTGGTCAGAACGCACCCCCAGGAGAGGGAGTTTGCCCAGTTTCGGGGTGGAATATCGCGGGAGAGGACGACGCGTCCGATTGGGACCCCGAGGGTTGCGTGTCCGAGGGGAGTTTCCCCGAGCGCAGGAGGGCCCCAGCGAGCCCGCGGAGCGCGAGATGTTGGGCGCCCAGAGTGCCTAAGCGCTTGTTGGCGCCTGCGCACACGTATGAGTGGCTGGGTCGTGGGACACCGATAGGCCCAGAGCTGGACTGGTGCCAGTATCCGGTGCAGGTATTAGCGTAGCACGTTGTTGACGACGAGTTGGGTTCGATGCGTGTTCAGTTCGGATCCACGCCTCGCTGATGATGACAATGATGGTGGTGGTGAGATTGTCAAAGAGAATTGTAGTGATGAGGATTACGAGAGTGGTGATACTGATGCTGATGACGTTGATGATGATGATGATGATGATGATGATGATGATGATGATGATGACGACGAGAATGGGGATGAGAGTGAGGATGGGCATCAGAACGACGGGGTTGATGACGATGATGACACTGGGGATTAGAGTGACGATGATGATGATGACGACGACACGGTTGATGATGATGGCCATGATACTGACTATGATTCTTAGGCTTACGCCACACCGCCGACCCCTTGTTTATGCCAATCTGGGGGTAGTAGAAGCTGCGAAGGGGTGAAAAGGCGAGTGATATTTGTTTGGTGTCTGTTCGCCGCCACCGCCAGAGGGTCTCGGGCAGTTCCGCGGGGGGGTCCGAGCGGACGGCGACACCGCGGGCGGTCGTGGTCTCATCTGGGGCCATCTGAGAGGCATAATGGAGCCAGGTTGGGCTCGGGAATGTCTTCGAGCCGTTTCGGTAGCGGTCGGGAGTTTTTTGGGGGGACTGCCCAGGAGTCATGATGGGTCAACTTGGCCATGTGCGAGGCCACGGCGCGTGCAAAGGGTGTGCCGGCATGGGGCCTATGGCAGGCAGTTTGGAACCACTTGGGGGCCCAGGTGGAGGAAAAGGAGGAGGAGGAGAAGGGGGACACGGAGAAACGGCTCTGGGTTATGGGTTATGGGTGAGAGGCTTCTTGTATGTGTATCGGGATCTCGCGGATCGCTTCTCGGGGGCCTCTGGAAGCGAGTTTTGGAGCCACTTGGGGGCCGTTTCGGAGCCTCTGGGGTGCTTCTTGGGGGTTCCTTGGGGCGTCTGGGCGGCCTCGTGAGGGCCTCTGGGGGCCTCTTGGGGCACTCTTGGGGCCCCCTGGGGCTCCTGGGGGCAGAAAGCTAGAGTTTCAACATGTTTGGTCGCCCTCTTGGGCCCCTCTTGGTGCCGTCTTGGAGCCCTCTTGGGCCGTCTTGGGGACCTCTTGGGCCGTGTTGGGGCCGTCTTGGGCCGTCTGGAGGCCGTCTTGGGGGCCTCTTGGGCCATCTTGGGGCTGTCTTTGGGGCCTCTTTGGCCGTCTTGGAGCGTCGGGAAGCCGAAAAGGCGGAAAAGCAAAAAACATCGAAAAACACTATGGAAAATCAACAATTTTAGACTCTTGGGGCCCTCTTGGGAGGCTTGTTTGGGACCTCGGGGGCCGTCTTGGAGACCTCTTGGCCCGTCTTGGGGCCATCTTGGGCGTCTTGGAGCGGTCGTTTGGCGTCTCGGGGCCTTCGTGGGCCGTCTTGGAGGCCTCTTGGGGGCTTCTTGGCCCGTCTTGAGGCCCTCTTGGGCCCGGAAAAGCCCCGTGAACCGCTCGTCCCGGACCCGCCCCGCTCGTGCCGGACCCCCCCCCCCTCCAAATCGACCGGACGGGGCTCCCGGGGGAGGGGTTTGGGGAGGGGGAAGCATCTCACACGCCGATGATCCCCAAGGGGTCGGCGGATATTGATGATTTTTTCGATGAGGGTAAGAATATGGAAGACGATTATGTCAGTGATGATGATGATGATGATGATGATGATGATGATGATGATGATGATGATGATGATGATGATGATGATGATGGTGACGGTGGTGATGAGGATGTTGATGATCATGATGATGATGATGATGATGATGATGATGATGGTGGTTACGATGACGATGTTCATGGCAATAACGATGGCGATGATGATGATGTTAAGTATGATGTTGATGTTGATGACGATGATGATGGTGATGGTGATGCTGATCATAATAGTGTTGATGCTGATGTTGATGTTTGTCTGGATGGTGCTGTTTATGTTGATGTTGACGTTGGGTGTGATGATGATGACGATGAGGACGAGGATGATTACCTTGATTACGATGGCTACGATGATGACGACGGGGAGGAGGAGAAGAAGGCGGACGATAATGATTATGATGATGATGATGCTGATGCTGATGATGATGATGATGATGATGACGATGATGATGATGATGATGAGGATGAGGATGAGGATGATGATGAGGATGATGATGATGATGATGCTGATGCTGATGAATGCGATGATGATTGATGAGGATGAGGATGATGATGATGATGATGATGATGATGATGCTGATGATGATGATGATGCTGATGATGCAGATGATTATGATGATGCTGATGATGATGATGATGATCATGATCATGATGATGATGATGATCATGATGATGATGATGATGATGGTGATGATGATTATGATGATGATGGTGGTGATGATGATGATGATGATGATTGATGATGATGATGATGATGATGATGATGATGATGATGATGATGATGATGATGATGATGATGATGATGATGATGATGCCCTCCGCCCCATCTGGCCGCCCGCAGGCGTCGGCGGGTTCTGCCGGACCGGCGGTGGCGTGCTGCAGGACGCCCCCGCGGGCGCTGCTGGCCCGCCGCCCCGCCTGCCGCCCGTCCCGCGAGGCCGCCGCCGCCGCTTCCAGGCGTCCTCGCAACCGGTGCCACGACGGGGGAGCGAGTTCCGGGAGACGGGGGTCAATGCAAACGGGGGTCAGCCAGGGCACCGGATCCTGCAGGATCCTGCGAAGACCCTCTCTGGCTGACACGGGCTAGCGAGCCGCTCGTGGCCGCGAGGCGGCCCGCGCATATTGGCTGAGCGAGTCTGTGCACCAGGCGGTGCGCTAGCACTTTGCGGGCCCTGGAAAGGACAGGGCCGTTTTTCTACCGGTTCCGTTTTGCTGTTTTTTGCCGGTTCCGACGTTGTTTTTTTGCCGGTTCCGTCGCCGTTCTCTTACGGATTCTGGCTCCGGTTCCAATCCTGGAGCCGTTTTTGTGGCCGTTTCCGGTCGCTGTTTTTTTGCTGCTTCCGATTTCAAGGGACATTTTTCGGAAACGGTGAAAACATGGCCTTGCCGTTCCCGGGGCTCACGAAGCGCTAGCAGAGTTTTGAAACACGCGTCACGCGTGCCATAATGGCACGGCCGACGCCCGAGCCTTCGCGCTGCACCGCCCTCCGGGCGGCAGTAACTCACCAGCAAGGCGAGCGGCGGAGCCGGCCACGCGCAGGCAACTGTTCATCACCATGTTCGCCCAGTTCTGTCGGGGCCGACCTCCTCTTCCGACGGGCGAACAAAGCAAGAACAAACATGTACTCGCGATCAGAATTGTGTTCGTTTTCTTTTTCGTTGCTTTTCCGATCGGCGCGTGCCCTCGCACCCCCCGCCCCCCCATCGAGAAGGCCTTAGGTGTTTTTGGCGCCTGTGTAAAGCATGTGGAGTAAGCACGGGGGCCCCGCCTCCCGCCCCCTTGGTGGACACGCGAATTTACATTTCGCGCAACTGTGCATTGCGTTTTCGGGGCGGCCCTCGGGAAAGTAAGCAAGGGGCTCCAGGGCACTGGATGTGTTTTAAAACTACGATGCCCCACGAGGTAGCCAGTTGTTGTGGGATCTTCTGGAAGTGCAAATCTTGGAGATTCCTCAAGATTCCTGGAAGTGCAGACCCGAAGTTTACTAAATTCATGATCCGTACGTTTATTTCCACGTCCTTCTGCTACATGTTTCCTCCCGTTGACGTTGTCGCTTCCTTAGTCGCCTCCTTTTGCTAATTCCTTCACTTTCTGTCGGAATATCAGTGCTTAAGTTTTCTTGCTTCTGCGAAATTCATGGCCATGTCTTTACGTCCAATTTTCTGGCTTTTGTTAATTTTAAAAATCGATTCGTCAGTTATTTCTTGTTACCGCAATTTGTGTTGTTCGCATTTCTTTCCAAAGTCAACATCATTTCAGGATTCGGCTTTTCGGTACTGTTCCAAACAGTCGCGCTAAGCAGAGGTCCAGGGCCAAACCCTCTCCCACACCTTTTTTGCCCAATGTCGAAACACCGAAAAAGAAAACTATCACATTCACCACGTGCGACACAAATTACGACGCATGGTGCTGGGACCTCTTGGGACTCCAAGGCCGTCGCGAGCCAAAGTACGACGCGAAGGTTTTTGGCATCCCTTGCCTCATGGACGCCGCTGCCAGGGCTCCCGAAGCCGCCTGAAAATCGCCTTCCCGACTATGTCCAGCAGTGCGTTTTGGCCAGGATTCAGCCGTGCGACGAGAAGACCTATGGCCCCATGGTCGCCACGTCACCAGTCGCCTCGCAAAGGGGCCTCTCATTCCTTGCCCCTCTGGTCAGGGGGTGCCAGAGGTACCCTTGGCCCCCAGCCTTTCGCCCCATTTTGAAGCTCCTGGGGGCCCCTGGGACTCGCGGCGGGTGCTCTCGCGGCCGTGGACGCTTCCTTGGACATGCCTGGGGCACCATGGGTCGGGAGCGCCCCTGGCTGGCAACGCCTTTTTGTTCGCAGGGCGCCCGAACGTGTACTGACGCAGGTGGCGGCCGAGATCGGCCTGAACGTAAAGGAAACATGCTTGATCCGTGGGTCGAGAGCGAGCCTCTTCCGGTCGAAGCTAAGCGGGCCGCGCACAGCTTGAATTAACAGAGGAAGGAAAACAGAAGGGGGCACCAACGTAAAGGAAACATCGAGAGATTGGGAATCCAAGAAAAGGACTGGCCTTTGCGCGAAGGAGGCCGCCCCTGGCAGACATCGGTGATCGGCCCAGAACCCAGCGAGGACTGCCAGTGGATCTGGAGCTGACGCGTCCGCGCTTCACTCGGGGGGGGCAGAGGCTCACGAGCCTTGTCGTTTTGACTCGGAGACTTACAGTGCCGTTTTTAATGTGTGCTCCGCGTGCGGATCATGGATTAAAAATGCATGGATTTAGTATTACAAACAACGAAGAGTTCATGCATAAATTCATTCATGGCGTAATCATGTATTAAAAATCCCATATTGTTGAAAATCCGATGTATTTAAAACTGCCCTGTACTCCCTCGGGGCTGTTCTAACCTAACCTACTCTTCCTAATCCGTACGCCTAAGGGTCCCCGTTTTCCCCCGACCCTGTCTGTGAGGTGTCCTGCGGAGCGTCTCTTACGCAGGAGTTCTTCTTTTGGTGTCCCCGACCTTTGACCCCCCCCCCATCTCACCACCCACCAAACCACCCCAACCCAACCCGAAGGCTTTAGTTTGCCCTCCATTTCCAGTGGGGGGTGGGGTCGGGGAACATTGAAAAAACACATATGGAACCCGTACCCCCCCCAACCCGAAATTGGGGTCTTCGGGTTGGGTTGGGGTGGTCTGGTAGGTAGTCACCATCGGAGCGTCCTCGATGTTTTTGTTTAATGGTGCTCCCGCTGCAGCGTGGGACGCGTGTTCGGATCGGCACGCTGCTCCCGCCGTGCAGAGTAGGCGCTCTCGCCCCAGCGCGGGCTATACTCTTCGGGATCCGAGCTCTTCCTCGGCGTTGTCGCCCCCCTCGCTTCCACTCCTTCGCATTCCCCCGGTTCCCGGGCCACCCCAGCTCGACGCGAAGGCCCCGATTTGCCCTCCATTTCTAGTGGGGGGTGGGTCGGGGAACATGGAAAAAACACATGAAGCCCAACCTGAAATTCAGGCGGAAGTCGGGTCAACGGGTTGGGTTGGGATGGTCTGGTAGGTAGTCACTGCTCCCCCCGTTCCACTCCATATTCTGCTGCTTCTGCTGCTGTTCGTCCTCGTCCTTCTCCTTCCCCATCCTCCTGCTCATCCTTCTGCTCATCCTCGTCATCCACCACCTTCTCTTCCAGTGCACGCAGCTCCCCCTTTCCGCGTGCGCAAAACACGATGGGGGCCTTTTTGGAGTTTCAGGTCCACGGACACGCGTCGGCAGAAATAAAGCAAGTCAACGCACATGCAAGAGATAGGCAGGATGGGTAGGATTTCAGATATGGCACGAGTGCACCTGGCTTGCCGACTGCCCGTGTCATCCTTCTCATCTCCCTTCCCTCCTCTCTTCGTCGTTATTCCCCCGATCTATTCTATCTCTTCGTCGTTGATTACCTCTTCTATCCCAGTCGTTGATTATCCCCCCCTATCCCTTCTCCTATCCCTTCTATCCCCCCCCTTCGTCGTTGATTATCCCTCCGTTGTCCACCCGAGTCCGCGCGAAAATGAGCGCGCGAGAGTGCGGAGTCGGAGGTGGATAGACCTCCTACCCTGACACGTCGATTCAGGAATCGGCCGTTTTCGCTTCGCGAGAGGGCGCCGCGGCCGCCATTTTTGGGGGTCCAGGTCCGTCGGTTTCGGTCCCAGGCCGTTTTCACTGAAGGGAGGCTTACTGAAGGGAGGTTCTTCCACCACCGAAGGAGCTCGGTTTCCCAGGCAGTGGAGAGGGCGCGGGGGGGCGTACTCCGGGCCGCACGGGTGCCCCTGGGCAGGGGTAAAGAGCGCAGCACCGCAGCGCAGCGCGAGGTGATGCCCACCAGGGGCAGGGAGGCCACGGGGGGACGGGGGGCGAGGGCGACCAGGACGAGGAGGAGGAGGAGGAGGACGAAGACGAAGACGAGGAGGAGGAGGAGGAGGAGGAGGAGGAGGAGGAGGACGGAGGAGGGGGAGAAGGAGGAGGAGGACGGAGAAAACACTCTGGGCGGCTCCGGGCCTCCGGGACGGGGGGCGAGGGACGGAGGGGAAGTGCTGGCAGGCGCCAGGGATCCACCAACTCCAGGTGCCAGAGGTGTTGCTTGGGAGGCAGGGCCGCCCACGATCCGATTCGATGTGAGTCGATTCGCCAGCTGGGCCCACGATTCCTATTCGGTTCGAGTGGGTTCGGCTCGCGGGCATAGGCGATTCGGGACGATTTGTTCGGCGATCTCATCCGCTTCCGACCTTTCCGTCGCAAGTCTTGGGGGCCCGGTGTGCCCTCTGAATTCCGTCCTTAGCGTCGACTGGCGTCGATGAGCGTCTGTGAGTCGATGGGGCAGCCCGTTTTTTGCGTCGCTTAGCGCCGACTTGGCGTCGATTGGCGCCGATTTGGCGTCGATCAGCGTCGATTCCCAGGAGCCGACACGATGGTATGGGAGGCTCCCATGAGTTGCTACCGAACGATCTGATCCTGATGGGCCTGTTTTCCACCACCACCACCACCACCAGCACCACCACCACCACCACCACCACCATCAGTTGGAGGGGGAAGGAGGAGGACGAGGAGGAGGAGGAGGAAAAGGAGAAGGATGAGGAGGAGGAGGAGGCACGGTGGAGGAGGAGGAGGAGGAGGTGGAGGAGGAGGATGACCCCCTCCCCCTTCCACTTGTGGTGGTGGTGGTGGTGGAAAACGGGCCCATCCACCCGTGCCTTCGCCAGGGGTGGGCGGGCCAGCGCGCGGTCGCGCGCCGCAGGAGAGCACCGCGAGGCCCCCCCTGGTGCTCACCGCGACGGCGTTCCACTTCCGCGGGCCCTGCTGAGGGGAGCCCCGGGTCTGCGGGCGCAGCCGCAGCCCCGCGGCTCGGTGTCGTTCAACCGACCCCCATCCTGCAGGCAATTTTTATATCCATACGGTAGAGGGAAACAATTACTGACCCCCCCCCTCCCCCCCAAACTCGATGTTGGCACGCGCGGGGGAGACTGCGGTTGAAGTGCATCTCATCATACCCACCGCCAACTTTGAACATCGGGGGGAGGGGGAGGCGTTGACGGATGAATGTGGCATGTGTTCGCTAATTTGTTCCGAGGCTTGTATCCAGGGCGTCTTGGACTTTCGTGGCAGGGGCGCCGCAAGGCCGAGGCGCACCGGATCTGGATGAAATTCGAGCCTCTAGTAGGGGCCTGAGTTTTATCCATGTCCAGTGCTCCTCGGTTTTTCTGGGGGAGGGAGCCCGAAACCCCAAGCCGCAGTGGATATGGACACAAGGTTTCCCCGCACGTCCCCATCCACCATCCCCCCTTCGGGACCCCCACCAAGCTGCCACCCCAGTTGGGGATGCACCCCTCGGAGCCCGAGGGGACCGGCCTGCAGCCCCATCTGGGGGGGGGGGCCAGCTCGGCCAGCGGGGCCCGGGCCACGCCGCTGGGGATGGGGATCGGTTGAACGGTGCTCAGTGGCGCGATCGCGCGTGCACGAATCCGGCGCGACCAATGCACAACTTAGCGTCCCCGGCGCCAGGAGAAAAGCTTGCCCGCTTTGAGGCGCCGCTGGGGGTGGGGGAGAAGGCCGAGCTGGTGGAGGAAGTAAGCCGGGCATGCGAATGAGCCTCAGGAGGTCCGCGCGAACGTCTCGTGTCGGCGACAGCCCCTCAGGCGCGCTCTGCGCGCCAGGGAGGGGGTGCCCATCGCCGACCTGGGAAGTCCGCGCAGCCCTCCGAAAGTTTGAGTTCATGGTTCCAGATTGGCATCTGAGGGCGCAGGTCGAGTCGGATGTCTCGCTGGTCATCTCGATGCTGTTCGGGGCCTCGCAGCTCTCTCGGGGCGGGAATGGTCGCGACTTTGCACGGGGGTCCCTTTCAGGCATCCCATCGGGGCCGCCACGAAGAGATTCGTGCAGGACGGGGGCGCGCCATGGGGACCAGCGACTGTCACAGGGAACCCTTGTTCGCGGAAGGAAGAGACGGACAAATCCCGAGAAGCTGGAGAGGGTGAAGAGGAGGAGGAGGACGCTGAGGAGGATGAGGAGGCGGAGGCAGATGAGGAAGAAGGATCGGAGCAGGATGAGTAGGAGGCAGAAGGACAACGACGATGACGAGGTGAGGGAGTGGGCAAGTCGTGTTGTAATGCCGTATACGCTGCGTTCTTGAGCTCTGCTAGCGCGCTGTTGCTCCCGCGTGTGCGTTCGCGTGGGCATCCGAGGCGTGGCCCACTCCGAGTCCTGTCCGCCGTGCAGGGTCGCGAGGAGGTCAGTTTGCACCGTGCCCAGTCCTCAGGAGGACTGCTTGTCTCAGCCCGGCCCTCGACTCAGGCGTGTGTGTGTGTGTTCCGACGCCCCTCGGCGTCCCCGCACGTTCCGTGTTCGTTGCCGCTGCAGAAGATCCAGGGCACGGTCTGCCTTGACCGGAGTCTCAGTGGGCCCCTCCCCAGGAACAACAGAGGACACCAACGCCACTGCTCCACGTGCGTTGTGACCAGGACTGCAGGGCGAATCCAGCCGCGGCGACCGGGGAAGGGTATCAGCTGCGGTGTAGACGTTCATCCTCTGGCCTTCCCCTGAGTCTGTGTGCCCGACATGGCCAGGAGCACGGTCGCCCAGCGGTCAAGTTTGCTGAACACTTGGGACTTTTGACCGTATGCTGGTCCGCCGCCGCTGTCACTGCTGCCGGGACTCTTGCTCCCCCCTCCCCCCCGCGGACTCATCCTCGTCCTCCAGGCCTTTGAGATGCCCGCTGGCGGGACCCGAACCTCATGAGTCACCATCCTTGGGTCCTCAACAGTCTTGGCATCGCTCGAACGCGTGCATCTCTCCTCGCCGAGGACCATCGAAGAGCACGGAACCGAACAATGCACGAAACAACCAAGCAAGGTCACCGAGCAATGCACGAAGCCGAACAACGCAATCCACCGAATTGAAGGCAATTCGTGCAAGAAACTATGCGCACGAAGCCGACCGATCAATGCACAGAGCATGGATGTCCGAGCGGTGGCAAGCATCTGGAGCCGTCTTGGAGTGTCTGAGGGGGCCCCCTGCAGTAGGGGAGTGGAAGTAGGGGGAAAAAGTGACGACAGCTGGTTTCAGAGACATGCGTTCCTGAAGGCTATTTCCATATGTTTCGGAGTACATCTGAAGGCTATTTCAACATTTCGCACGTTGAATTTCTACCGTTTTGCACTTCGGATATTCGTTAGTTTCATAGCAAAAACACGCACGCACTCGTTTTAGGTGTTGAAAAAACAATTTTCGGAGTTCTGGGGAACTGCTTACGGGGAGTGCAAATCCACAGCATACTGATTTGCATGTTGAAGTGTTACATTTTGGAGCTCCAAATCCCGTCGGTTTTGCACATATGAAGTTTGACGTGTGAGGACGGGCGGGGTGGAAAGGGAGGGGGGCATGCTTCCAACCGTAGCCATTTTGGCTCAGGATGTTGAGTTTCTTCGAACAGAACATCGCAGTCACATCTGCTACTCTGTGTACAATCGCGACAGATGATGATGAAGGGGTATTGCTTTCAAAGAACGATGTTGTGAAACTGGTGCAGCATTTTCGTTCCAATTTCAATCTGGGCCGTTTCCTGGCAAGGAATGGCGAATTGATATTTCAATTGGACAGTGTTTGTGCGCATCATTCACATGACGGCTACTTCAGACTTGCAGTGGTGGCATCAGTGGTTGAAGATATTTTCGGAATTGGTCCTTCTATGTTTGACTGGGGTCGCGTTCGGCATAAAATATTGGAGCTCGTGTCACTGTCCAGGCAACCGCAGCCCCGTGGTCAAGCGGCCGATGCGCCTGACGACGGGGGCCCGTCACCCATGGAAGATACCGTGCAGGCGGAGCTTGATGCTGTCAAACATGATCTTGATGTTGCAAATAAAGAAATAGAACGTTTGAAAGCTGCAAACAAAAGGCTCAGACTTGGATATAAAAAACATCACCAATGTTTCTCCAGGAAGAAAAAGTTGGCCGTCAAACGCAAAAGTCCAGTTGAACAGTTAGAGAAATATCGAGATGCAAAGCGGTTTCGCAAACATGATTCCGCGAGGAGCCACTTCACATTGAGGGGTGGCCTCACGCTCGCACTCAAACGGGTTCTGAGCAACGGTGGGGCCGCCTCCCTCGGCTTAGCCTTGGGGGAGGACATGCATCGAACGACCATTTGTGATAAGGAGATAGATTTGCGACGGTCTCTCATGGCAGCTTCGAGAAAACACATTCGATATTGTTTGCATCGGCTTCTATCGGACGAGGCGGCCGAGGGCGACTGGAGGCGCATGCTGACGTATTCGCGCGGCGACGCCACCAACAGCCAGTGTTGGCAAAAGTCGAAGCTGCGCGTCCACGAGGTCGAGACGCATTTCATCCTCGACGGCTTCGGCGACTCGGCCGATTACGCCGCGGTGCTAGATGGCGTGGTGTCGAGGCGATCGACTGGGACCCTACTCGTGGTTGGTGAGGGCTCTGGCGAAGCAGTGTATGCGTTGAACAACAAGCAGGATCAATCGACGGGAGCGGACACGCTCGACCATGGACTCCAAGCACTTGCTCTTCTTGATGCTGAGTCCGATGGTGATCGCGATGACGGTTCCAGGGGAGGGGATGGGGTAATAGCAGAGGAGTGAGAACATGTGAATGATGATAACAATGGGGAGGAGGAGGAGGAGGAGGAGGAGGAGGAAGAGGAGGAGGAGGAGTTAGGATGTCACCCCCCGTCCGCGCAGGTTCTGCCGCCGTCGTTGCTGCCGAGCCCGTGGCGGCGTGGCGCGACAGGCTCGACGCTTGGGGAGGGCAGAGGATTTTGCATTTGAGCGTTGGGTGCACTGATGGTGGTTCAGACGAGGTGTACAGCAGGGGGTTGAAGCGTGCAAAAGAGTGTAGGAGTGCTGTCACGTGGTCTTTCGATTGCGATTGCCACCACCACGTTTACGCTCTCATGGTGCACGACGGTTTAGAGCTCATGGACGCATTTGCTACCAAACAGTGCGGTTTCAAATGTTATGCAACTCTTGCGAAGATGATGAATGTTTGGAGGCAGTTCGCCGCCGACCTTTGGAAATGGTGCAGGGCAGCTCACGGCGACGCAGTGGCTTCCAAGTTCTCAAAGGTTCCTCCGTCCTGCGTTTCGGAGAGGTGGGGGTCGGTGAGCGCCTGTGAGAAACACGTTCTGGGCATATCTTGGGATGTGATTCAAGATGTCTTCTTTCGGACCCTCGCGCAGAAATCAACTAAGAGACGCAACAAGGCAAAGGCAAAAACAAAAGCAAAAGCCGGCTTAAAAGGGCGAGGAAGAGGGAAAGCGAAACCGAAGCCAAAGCCAGCCCCAGTAGCACCAGAGCTTGGGAGTAGCAGCTCTGACGAACAAGCTGAAGATGCCGAAGCGCGCCCGCTAGCAGAGGATCCGCAGCTGGAGGCTGTAGAAGCATTCCAGAAAACATTTACGAGATGGTCTCGCGAGACCATGCAGGGAATAAACAACAAAGTGTTCAGGTTCCTGGTTCTTGCAGGCCAGCTGTCAAGAGCCCCGCTTGACCACATGCACAACTTTCTCATGAAAAAGGTTCCCCCCCTCGAGGTCACGCGCTTCGCGCAGCTCATATTCGGAAAGGCCGATTCGATATTGTTGGATTTACGCAAACTCATCGATGACATTGTGCCGATCACTGCCAGTTTGTGTGATCATATGCCACTGGATATGTATGTTGCGTGCGTTCATTTTGTCAAGGGGTTTGCTTGGAGTAACTACGTAAACTTTATGAGGAGAGTCGTCAGGCCGATGCGTCAGTATCCACTTTTGTTATTGGTGTTGGCGAAGGCCGAGCCGAGCACGGCGTGCTCGGAGAGACAGGGGATCGCTAGAGATATCTTGACCACCGACAACAACAAACCCCACATCAACGCAATTAAAATGACATGCTTATTCAGGCCGCAACTTGAGGAGTGCGCGAGGGGCGGAACTTTAGGGTGCTCGCTGTGGGTGCCGATAAGGTTGGTTTGTATGAAGCTAACTGGCAGCACGCAGGAGATGGAGGCCTTAAACAAGTTAGTGAAGATGGCTTGTAAGAGGGCACCTACTATTTCCTTGGGCTTACTTGACGCCAGGACCCCGCTGGCATCTGAGCTGGGGGAGGGAAGGGGGAGGAGGACTAGGACGAGGCGTGAGGTCAATGCCTGGCGTGTGGGGGGGGGGGGGGGGGGGGGGGGGGGAGTTGGGCGAGGGGGATCCAGGATGAGGGGGAGGAGGGAAACGGCGCGCCCAGCAGGATTGGCATTCGCCGCGAGGTTGGTCTCGGACATCGCAGTTGCAAGGATATGAAATGGTCTGAGATATCTGATCGTTGCGCCAGGTTGCTGGACGAGGCAACGAGCACTCACGCCGAGGGTTTGGAGTTGTACGGCAAAGGGGATTGGTTTGTGACCCCCGCGGCAGTGCCCATGCCCAAACCTCGGCGGGATGCAGAGATCGGGGCGCAGCTGTTGCCGAAGCATGCGGACTGGGTTGCTTCGCATGCTCTGGTTTGGCATCGCAAGGCCAGGGAGATCGGAGACGTCTGCGGAAAAACTGGTGCTGGGATTTAGAACCGTGGGTTCCCACAGCTTTCCCCTACCCCCTCCTCTTGGTTTCCCCGACCGCTGGGTCCTTGGGATCGTGGGTCCGTGGGTCCGTTGGGCTGTTGCCGAGCCCGTAGGTATCCGAATACGCCATGCTCTGGATGGGGATGCAGTCTGGGTTCCAGGTCCGCTGTATAAGAACACGTGCTTCTTCGTGAAATGCAGGGAGGGGGCCGATGGCCGCGTCGAGATACCCCTCGACCCGAAGGCCACGGAGGGCATGTTTACGATGGATCTGTTTGCGAAGTATGCCCCGATCCTCTGTGACAACCCAGGCGATAGCATCGAGGCCGTCTACTGCAGTATTTCGGAAGACATGCGCATCGTAGAAACACACCCCCTATTCACGATGACGAGCAATCTAGCAGTGAAGATAAACAAAGCAAAAAAAGATGTTCGAGACCTTGTGATCGACGAAGCGGCAGCTGAGCTAGATGCGATCAAGGCGGCCGAGGGCGGGGATGACGCCCTGCCAGACATAGATAAGTTGGACCCCCTCGTTGAGCCTGCCGTTGCTGCTGCTTACGGCCACGACGAGTCGACTGCAGCTAAGATTACGGACGCGGACATGACTGAGAAGTTTGCCAAAGCAATGGCTGATAATGGTTACGACGAGGCCGATGCTGGCATTTTCGGCGGTCTCGATGCAGCCAGCGCCAGTGGCAGTGGCCAGAAAGCTAGGTACGCTGCTAATTTCGAAACTTGGAAAACAGAATTCGCAGCTTCAGTTGATATCTTAGAAGAACGGCGCAGATGGTTGCGCGATGGTGAAGGGCCTGCCCTTCGCCGAGCAGGGAAGGATCTAGCCCTAGTTCAAGTGGAGGTAGATGGCAGGGTGGAAACTGTTTTCGCGCACTGGCAAACGTCGCCGCCAGCGGAGGACAGGCTAGGGATAATTCTTCCGCTGGACGACCGTGGAGTGCCTAAGTGTCAGGTCGGCGTCGATTACCCACCGAAAGTTGGTGACGCTCTGAGGCGGCAGTGGACGCCTTATGCGGGGCCTGTCGTGTTCCCTGCTGCAGGCGTGGAACGTGTCAAGGCGACAACGTATCGTTTGTAATTAATACGTATCCTCCTCATTCTCCACATTTATGTCATCATTGCTCTTGCCCTCGCCCCATCCGCCGCGGCGAGGCTACTGATCAACGGAGTCGGGTTCCTGATCCAGTTCTCCGGCTCCGGCTTCAGAGGATGCGGGGGGTCGCCGCCCACAGCTTGGCCGACTGCGAGGGGAAGGATGATGCCATAGGGGATTGCCTCGTTTGCAAGAGTGCCGACGGCGGGCTGTTCACATGCTGCGTTTGCTTGCTGAAGTTTCACCGCCTCTGCAACGCAAATCTCGCGACTGCGTGCGCTGATCGCGCAGCAGGCGTGTTCTTTTGCAGGGTGCCGCAATTGATTTTCCGAGCTGGGGAGTCCAGGGGAATGTGTGGCCTGCGCCACCTTCGCACGGCTGAGTTGCATGCTTGAACTGCCCCCTGGCCCCCCGCCCTGCCTTGGAAAAACAAACCAATGGCCCCAAAGGCGCGGTTGCTTGCGTTTGGCGCAGGGGGGAGGGGGGGGGGTAAGGACAACAAACAACAACAAACGACAACAAAAACAAAGGAAAGGAAAGGACACGTCCTCTATCCTCCAGTGGCGGCCAGACATAGCCATGACATGGAGAGCCGTCGTGTAGCTGACCAGGCGAGAATGACCAGGAGAGAAGCTCCCCCGCCATCAGTTCGAAGTCCCCTCATCATAAGTATGGCACCAAGGTAAACAGTACAAAGTCTCAGGCTCAGGCCCTGCGTAAGTCTCAAGTCCCCTCGTCATAAGTCGGAGCTATGGCTCGGTCGCCCCTGGGTCCACGATAGGTTTTAGCTCAAGCATTGGCGCCAACTGACTTACAGCGATCGCAGTATCAGTGATTCGATCTCGTCGAGCACTCGCGGACTGACTTGCCAGCCATGCCCGCTCCAGCTACCATCACCCCCCAGTTCTGGGACACATACTTCGGCGTCGATGCGACCTGCGAGACGGCCTTCGAGGGTCTCACTGGTTCGAGGTTGTGGAAGGAGTTGCTGGTGACGTATTGCACCGAGCGCCACTCTACTCTCCAAGTCTTGGGCATGCGGACGGGCGCCGACGGGAAGTACACCCTCTTGCTCAAGAGATGCCCCGATGTCAACCCGCGGAAGCAGTACCATATTGTCAAGGAATACGCCAAAACTCTCATGGATAAGGGCCTCTTCTCCGAGATGCGCGGGCAGCCCATCGCAGTGGAGACGGGTACGAGCTGCACTGATGGCGATTACTTGATGATCGCGGGAGCGACTTTATGCGAGGCGTGCATGGTTGTCCTTGAGCCAAAATGTGATTTTCAGGAGTGACCCCCTACCCACCTTGAGCCAACATTGCTACGGGAGGAGAACGTAGAGGAGGAGGAAGAGGAGGAGAAGGAGGAGGAGGAGGAGGAGGAGGAGGATCGAGTAGCGAGAAGAAGGACGACGAGGAAGATGCGGGGAGGAGGAGACGGAGGAGGATGAGGGTGGGTGGGGAAAAAAAGCAAGAGGGGTAAGCGGTGTAGGAAGATGAGGGGCGCGCGAGCCCCCCTTGTCCTTCAGGATCAGCTCCTGAAGCCATGATGTCCTTCAGGACCACATCCTGAAACCATTATGTCCTTCAGGATGGGATCCTGAAATCCTGATGTCCTTCAGGATTGGATCCTGAACTCCTGAGGTCCTTCAGGATTGGATCCTGAAATCCTGAGGTCCTTCAGGTTTGGATCCTGAAATCCTGAGGTCCTTCAGGATTGGATCCTGGAATCCTGAGGTCCTTCAGGATTGGATCCTGAAATCCTGAGGTCCTTCAGGAGTGGATCCTGAAATCCTGAGGTCCTTCAGGAGTGGATCCTGAAATCCTGATGTCCTTCAGGATTTGGTCCTGAACACCATATGCTCTTCAGGATTGGATCCTGAACTCTTGATGTCCTTCAGACGTGGATCCTGAACTTCTGATATCGTTCAGTCTGATCAATTGTTATGTGAGGTTGGTCTGAACTAAGATATCATACCATGATTTTGATGATTTTAATACGGCCAGAATTTTCAAGTACTATAAAAACTCTGCCAGGTTGCCGCGGACATCGACACGACCAACGTCTACATCCAGGACATCATCAGGGATGGCATGTCCAACATCATGGTGTTTCGTCGCGACTGTCCCAAGGAAATCCAGCGCGCTTTGAAAAAGATGCACAACAAGTTTCACAACGGGTCCGATGCCACATTCGTGGAGCTGTTCGAGCTTGTGGACGAGGCCGAGAAGACGTGGGCCGCTCACAAAAAGGCCGCCGAGACTTTTGTCAAAGTACTGAAGGACAAGAGATGACGAGGAGTGAGGATTGAGGAAGAATGGCAAGAAGAGGAGGATGATGAGGATGAGGAGAGAGTGTATGAGGAAGGGGGAGTGGAGGAGGAAGAATACACCTGGAAAGGCCTTACGGCCAGTGCCGCCGACCCTGGAGACGGAGACGTCGAGGGCGACGACGACGACGACGACATGATGGCCCTGCCACAGGCTCGGGGCATGGGGCGGGGTGGAGGGAAGAGGAGGAGGAGGAGGAGGAGGAGGAGGAGGAGGAGGACTTTTCGAAAACATGAACCTAAACGAAAAACACGTGCGATCCTGAGTGCACTCCGCACTTTACCGCTAATCTCGCACTTGATAAAAAAAAGGGATTCTTCGGATTTCCCTTTTTATTTCAAGTTCCTTTTTCCCAGCAGATCAGCCGCTCATGGAGTGTCTGGTTGAAGAGAGCTCGACTGCTAAACGAAAACAACGACGCGTTGTCACGACGCATCGCAGTGTTTCTCCAGGTACGGCCTTTGTGGGCTGTCGTTGGTGCACGTTTCATTTCCGCGTTGAGTTTATTTTGTTTCTGTCGCAATTGCCGCTTCCAGGCTGAGCGCATAACGGTGGCATCGTGTCCTAAGAGCGGAGACTACCGCTACGAGAAACTCTACGAGCGCTACGTGCTCAGCCATTTCGATCAGTTCAAGACCTGGGATCACTACGACAACTGCAAGAGCTTCACCCACAAGATGCATGCGGCCAAACTCTACACCCCGTGGAAGGAGGAGATGGAGCAGCGGTGCGAGTTCCTCGACAGGGGAATCACCAACAAGCTCGTGGCCAAAGTATGCAACACCCTGTTCCTTCGCATCATGGACTTCAACGACGCCGCGGAACAGCGCGTCTTAGAGTTAGCTTTGATGGAAGCCCTCATGATGGTTGCTCCGATGGAGGGTGCCGACGGCTCGTGGGTGTTCCAGCGCGAGAGCGACTTGGACAAGATCAAGAACCTCAGGGCGCCAATGAGCACGTCCCAGGTGTTCCTGAAAAAGAAGCAGGGGAAGCGGTCCAACGTGAAAGCCAAGACGGCACCCCCTATGAAGAAGCCCAAGAAAGGCACCCAGGATGAAGCTCTCGTCCTGAACGTGCCAGCTGAGGAGATCCACGATACGGTATCCGCCGACAGCCCTAACACTTCGAGGAACACGCTGTTCTTCGACGACTTGGTCAACGCTATCTGCCAGCCGCTGCAGCACTTGCCGATTGCGCGGTACAACACGGAGGTGATCCGCGAGCTCTTCAAGTTCGGCTTCATTTTCTGTTTCGAAGGTGCCGTGACCATCAGGGGGGAGATGTACACCGACTGGTCGAAGGTTCGGAAGATCTTCAGGGATGACAGCATCCGCGCTCACAGGGGGGACCTCATGGTCAAGGAGTGCGAGATTGCTCATGGCGATGCCGATGCTGGTGCCGCGAGCTCTTTTGCTGGCCCCTCGGTCGGTAACGTTCAAGCCGTCAACGACGCGTTGAGCCAGTTCGTCGGCGATGAGAAGTTCGTGCTCGGCATGTTTGCAATCGTTCGCCAGACGAAGATGCCTGATATTTTGGTGCAGCCAGCTTACTTGAACGTATCGATGAAGCTCTACCAGCAGCACGTGGAGGACGTGACGCCCAAGGGCGATGCCGCGGCCGCTCCCGTGGCCTGGACCCACGTATCGTTCCTCGAGTGCGCGCGCAGGGTGCTCAAGGATACGTTCTCGCACAGGTGGACGGAGTTCGGCGCGCGCTTGCTGCCGATCGTCGAGAAGGAGGCCGGCGACTCGAATATCTCCCATCTCACGGTGGGCCTTTTCGATACCAAAGCTCATGTGCGCCGCTTCTTCGGGCTTCGGGCTTCCTGCGTGATCGGCATGCTCGCGAACCTCGGCTGCATTGCCGCGCCGAGCGCCATACAGGCCCTTTACGACAACATCAGCATGATCAAGGAGCGCGACTTGGCCGTGAAAGACGATAGGTGGGTCGCCATGTGGAGCGTCGTCATCAAAGCCGCGATGATCGACCCCGACCAGTTGCGCGAGAAGCTCGAGGCCATGGCGGTGGTTAAGGACCAGGCGTCCTGGTTCGGCAATGACGCCGACGCCCCGTCGTCGCTGCCGCTCTCAGACTCGTGCGGCAGCTCCCCCGCCCAGCCCGATGAGGAGCAGGCGAAGACGACGGTTGCGGAGGCGGAGGTGCCGAAGGACCAGGCGACGGAGGCGCCGAAGGGCCAGGCGAAGAAGGAGGCGGAGGGGGAGGCTACGACTCCGAAGGCCAAGACCGTTGCCGATCCCGCAGCGGGCTCCTCGACGGCAGCGAGCGGTGGCAAGACGACGGGCTCGACGTCGCACGCCATGGCGAAGGTGGAGATCGAGATGACGTTGACAGCCATCGCTTCACATGTGGCTTGCTCCGAGGTGGGCGCCCCCGTCTTGGCGTCCTTCATGAAGCACCTGGAGGCTTTCATTTACGACACGATCAAGATGAGCAAGCTTCCGTCAGTCGATGTGAAATCGCCGACGAAGCGGAAACTGGGCAAGAAGACGTCGAACGAATTCAAGCCAGATAAGGCACCTGCCGCGGGTGCCGCCGAGGTCTGGGGGGGCTTCGCGGACACGGGCTTGGACCTCATCAAGGCCAAGCTGGGCGAGCCCGACAGCAAGGAGAAACCAGAGCCCGTGGCCACGGAGGCTGGGGGTCGACCGATGCAACGACCCAGCTAAGCCTCTGCCCAACCAAATCAACCATCAGCGCAACCAGTCATATGTTGGTGTTTTTTGAAAACCAAAAACGGACGTGACTATATCGTTAGACGTTGTTGGTTGTTTGGGAGTGGTAGGGGTTTGGCTCGGGTCCGCGCTGGCGTCGCGCCCATGCAGATTACGCCGTCCATCTGCTTGCACTTCTACGGGACAGTCACCCGCGCGTTGGTGAAGGACGCGCTCCACGTGTGCTCCGCCTTCGGCATTGACTTCTACATCACGAAGGAGGGCCTCGACACTTTCCATTCGCAGCTGGGGTTTTGCCCTGCCTGGATGGTGAATGTCAAGCAGCCCAAGGAGAAGACCCTGACCGACGGATCCAAGAAGCTGGAGCCGCCGACTGTCAACCTGAACCACAAGAAGGAGACGACGTCGATGCATTACACATACTCGCACATGGGGAAGACAATGACAGCGCACATCCCTGTCGCGATCCACTCCCTGGTGCCCTTCGAAGGCTTCCACGGGTTTACCGACGCCATCCTCACCCGTGCCGTGATGACTGACCAGGTGACTCTCAACCAGTCGAAGCAGGCGGTGAAGAAGGGTGCTACCACCACAAAGGGGGCGCCTGAGGAGTTCAAGGGTCAAAACATTTGTATCGCTGAAATGGGCATCGCAGTAATCCTGGCTTTAGCTCGGCTAGTTTTTCGGTGGCGAGGTTTTTTTGGATACAGACACGGAACGGGTGCGTTGATCGACTCGTTGGCTCCGCCCTTTGCCAGACATGTAGACCTTTTCGGGCTCGGGTTGCGTTGAGCGGTTGTCATCTCCCTAGGTTGGCCTCGTCAGAGGCGGCCTCGTCGCTGTGGAATCCGCCTGTGCGTGTGGTGATTTACCTCTATCTCTCTCCGAGCGGGCCGCCCGACTTCATAAGACTTATACTTCGCTCGGTCGGCCTGCTCGGACATTTAGCTGGCCTTCGGTGCAAACCGCGCGCGCGCAGCGCAACCTGGCGGCTTGCGTTCTGACGGGGAGGGGAGGAGGAGGAGGACGACGAGGAGGAGGAGGAGGAGGAGGAGAAGTCAGGTCTAGCAGCTGCCCAGCCGCGCCCACGCCGTCTTCGCACATCTACAAATCGTTTCGGAGTGGTGCGAGTTGCTCACTGGAAAAAATACATGTTAGCCAGCGTGGACCAAACAGTGTGTTTGGGCAATCTATGTGGTGCAACCTATGCGGTGCAATGCGGTGCAATCTACGTGGTGCTATCAATGTGATGTAATCTACGTGGTTATGAACCCAATAAGGGCAGGCACTGTTTGGGGAACAATGGTTATCCAGATCCCCTCTCCCCTTCACTGCCCTCCGTCGGCCCCCTATCAGTGAGAAGGGGGTGAGAGGTGAGAGGGGCAAGACCTCCAGACCTCAGCCAGGCCGGCCTGGGCCAGACCTCAGCCTCTCGCTCCCGCCGTGAAGTTTGGGCTCAAGCATTTGCATCTACCAGTGATTTCGTTGGCCGAAGCGCCCAAGATGGCGCATCGCCCCCGCTCTCAGTCTCGCTCCCCGCGCAATGGCGATGGCAGCATGTTCGACCAGCTCAGGCGCAGGGCAGCGGGATCGGCCCAGCGGGATCAGCAGCCACACGCTCAGCCAGTGGCGGATCAGCAGCCACAACCACAGGTGCCACCACAGTTGCCGCAGCCTCAGAACGTCAGCCACATCCTCGCCGACGGCGAGGGAATCTTCTACGACTTCAAGGTCCACCCTGGAGGCCACGCCTACCCCGTCGGCCTCGACCAAGTGCGGACGACCGTGATTCATCTTCACGACATGGTGGCAGAATTGCGGATCTGGCAAGGGGGTGCAGCAGACCACCCGTTGTTCTTCGACACGCACCCGTCCCACATCATTCGGAAGTATCGCAGTCTTCTGATGTGCGCGTTGTGTGGGAGGTACGTGCAGTCGGCGTGGCCTATTTGTGGTGGTGGTCGGGTTGGCTTGCGCACGCCATGCCCTGGCTACCGCAACTGCTGGGGCGTCAGGAACATGCAGAGGATCGCTCGGGGCGAGTGCCCGAAGCAGGGTGGCCGCTGGGAGGACGAGGCCGCTGCTCCAGCGGCTCCGCAGGCGCCTGCTCCAGCGGCTCCTGCTCCAGCGGCTCCAGCAGCAGCAGCAGCACCTCACATCACCGACGTGAACGGTAGCGAGGCCAGCGCCTTCGGCAGCTCGAGCAGCTCCGACAGCTTCCAGCAGGATGATTCGGATTCGGACTCCTGACCAGCCCGAAAAGTAGGAGCAGCAACACTGGCTTGCAGTTTTGTGGTCCAGCTTATGTTCAGGCCATTCGCATGCGGGAGAGCTTATGGCCAGCACACTCGTTATCAGCGCATTTCATATTTCAGTCAGTTCCGATTCCAGCTCGGTATGTACCAGCTTAGCTTCACCATCATAGTTTTTCTGCTCGGTGCTGGTTTTGTTTATAGTTTCAGCCAGTGCGTGTAAATACGCTGGCGACCACGTGCGTCTGTGAGCGTGTGCTGCGTAGCGCAGCCTTTCGCCGTTTAAAGCTCGGCTTCAGGCTGCATGCAAGCTCGACCATGTTTTGAACTTTGAAGTGCACGCGCGCTCTGATGGAAATGAAAGGGGGCGCTGAGGGACAGAGAAAGAGAGAGAGAGAGAGAGAGGGAGAGGATAGGGGGCTCTCTGTCCTTTGCGTTCCTCCCCCTATATCCCACGCTCCCCCCTCTCTGAGAGAGGGGGGGGGGAGAAAGAGAGAGATAGAGAGAGAGAGAGATAGAGAGATAGAAGAAGTCTACCATATAGGGAAGAGGCGAAAAAAAGGACAGGGGGCTCCTCCTCCTCCTCCTCCCTCTCTCTCGCTCTCGGTCTGCCGTCTGAAGCCGCGAGGTGGCTTCAAGGAATCTCTCGATCAGATCAGCTTGATACATTCGCGACGCTTCGCGTATATCCTATATCCCCGTGCGCCCATCCAGAAACGGTTCCACATAACAGATATACGCTCAAACCTGTCTTTAGGATTGGACCGACACTCCTTCAGAGATCACGATGCTGCTGAATCCGTGACACTTCGTATCCCCAGAGGCCCAGCCAAAAACGATTCCACGGGGGAGGCGTGGCAAACTATGGGGGGGGGGGGGGGTGACGCAACCGACGCTACTTCATCCTCCTCCTCGCCTTAACTTTTCCGATTCGCCAATTGCATTTTCATTTTCTCATCCATCAGTTT